GTTAAGAACTTACACATTCAAACAAAAACTTTACAAGGCACAGAAATAAAATCACATGCATTACTTGGCAGCAATAGCTTACACAAGTGGGGCAGCCACTTAACTCTCATCATTAATAAAATAATGTTTTTGTTAAATTAGCATACTACCTAAGACTTAAAATAACATATATATAATCTTCACTGGAGGATATGCTTATTGATTTTAGAGAGAAAGGGAGAGAGAGCGAGAGGGAGGGAAAGGAACAGTGATGGGCTGCCATCCATCACAACCTAGGTATGTGCCCTGATCAGGGATCGATCCTGCAACCTTTTATTTTTTTTGGAGGGTGGGGGTGTATGAGATGACCCTCCAACCAGCTGAGCAACCCAGTCAAGGTGGCTTAAAATAATATTGTATTTTGAAGTAGGAGTTAATAATAAGTTAGTGTGTAGAAAGTGTTGCAGATTCTTTCCCTACTTGTCCCTCACAACAAGCTCATCCATATATATTTGCAAACCATCTATTTTATAAGGGGTTGATTTAAAATACGAACTCATACAACTCAACAACAAAAAAAGTAAATAATGCAATTAAAAATGCACAGCCAACCTGAACAGACATATTTCCAGAGAAGATATACAAATGGCGAGCAGGTATGTGAAAAAGACTCAACCCCACTAATCAAGGAAGCACAAATGAAAACCACAATTAGTGGGTGACACTTCGAGCCAAAACAGGATATTTGCATCATCTCAAAGTACCTTCCCTAACATTTCTCAATTAGAAAGAGAAAAGTATTAACTCACAGGTGGAGAGACCTGGTTTACAACACCTTAACTAAGGGCTCAAAGTAAACATAACCACTAATGAGACATACTGACACCGTGTACACCTGGTATGAGACGCAGAAACATCGATTGGTTGCCTCCTGTACGCACCCTGACTGGGGACTGAACCCATAACCTGACACACGGGGACAGCGCTCCAGCCAGGTAAGCCACCTGGCCCAGGCAACTTAGAGCTGTTTTTGATACCAGAAAGCTTTCAAATCCTTAACTCTTTACTGATACTGACATAATAGATTGGGGGAAGAAGGGGACAAAAATACACATTTTACAAACTAATCCACGTTGCCTTTTCTTTAGATGGGAACACACGCACATAAAGCGGGAAACCTCCATGTCTTCAGAGGAGAGCTCACCTATTTCGAGGTCTGTCTTGGGGATATATTATTCCTATAGTCTATGCCTGAAATCTTTTTCTTATTAGTTGAAGACTTTAATTGGCATTCGTGAGTAAATATAGTGTATAGTTTTATTTTGCGTGGAACAGGAATGTATTAATCAGGGTAGGCTAGGTTATGCTGTGATCATGAGGAATCTCCAAACCTCAGTAGCTTAGGGTACCAAAGGTTTACTTCTTTCTCCTATGTCCACTGTCAGTCCAGTCTCTTCCCCAAGTCATCTTCCTCCCGGGATGAGGTGAATAAAGCAGCTTATCTGGCATATTGGTCATCATGGTGAGAAAAGAGAGGTTTGGTGAACCATGAACAGGATTTTGAAACTTCTGCTTGTAAGTGGCACAGTGTCAATTCTGCCCTTGTTTTATAGGCCACGGACCAGGTGGGGATACAACACCCTACCAGAAGGGGGAGTGCCTCGAGTCCTGCAGGCGAGCCAGAAGTCTCCTGGTGGAGAACTCCGAGCGAGCTGTCCGGAGGAGAGTCAACAGATACTTTGAACGATAGCACAACCTACCAGAAAGATGTGTCTCAAGTCAATATTTATGTTTTGCTAGCTTCAGAAAATGATAAAAATGTTCTCCGTGCTCTAGATCAGTTTACATGCATTAGAATTTTCTATTCCTTGAGAGTTTGAAAGCATTTGCCACTAAAACATTTGAGTCCAGAGCTGCTCGGATTACCTTCTCAATTTCTTCCCCAGTCAGCGATCTGTTTCAGTTTTGTCTCTTTGGGACCTATTTTGTTCATTTATATTCTAAAGAAAAGCATCCATATAACCTAGCTTTTTAAATATATCTGTATAAAGTTTTGTCATCTACTCTTAGTTATTTAAGTAGCTCATTCTTTTTCCCAACTTTATAGAGCTGTAATTGAAAAATACAAATTGTATATATTTGAAGTATACAACATGATTTAACGTACATACACAATGAAATTACTAAAACCAAGCTATCAAAAATTAATGCACCCATCATTTCAGTTACCACCTTGTTTCTAATTGTTTAATTTGTATTAATTTTACACAACATAGAAATATGTATTTGCAAACAAGTAATTTTGATGGAGATAGTAATAGTACCTAACCCAGAACTGTGAAGACTAAATAAGTTAATATATGTATACTGGTGAGAACACGGGGTCTGTCAGGAAAAAGTCCAGCCATTGTTAAAATAACAAGAATGGTTTGCATGACATCGATGTAACCTGTCAGCCAACGAGAGTGGACTGGAATGTGCGTGTGTGAACAATGACGACTTCACTGTACTAGTCATTGGGGGGGTAGGTGCCATTGAGTGAGCATGTGTACTGCGTGATCGTCACATTCAAAATGACTGAGCGAGGAGAGCAATGAATCTACATTAAATTTTGCATTAAGCTTGAACATTCCTCCACAGAAACTATTCGGATGATTCAGAAGGCTTTCAGGGACAATGCAACGAATACAGCACAAACAAAAGTGTGGCACAAACACTTCAAAGATGGTCAAGAATCTATTGAAAGTGATCCATGCTCTGTAAGGCCTGCAACAAGCAGAACACCTGAGAATGTTGAATGTGTATGGGCTGCAATCAACAAAGATCAGTGACCAACAGTACAAGAACTAGAAGCTAATCTGGAAATTCCAAAAACTGCTGTGTCCAAGATTTTGACATAGGATCTTGGCATGAAACATACTGTGGCAAAATTTGTTCCATGGCATCTGCTACCAGCACAGAAGGAAGATCGTGCTACAGTTGCTAATGATGCTGCAAGAACTGTATGAGGTCCCAAGGTGCCTACTTTGAAGGGGACTGAGGTGTCATTTTCCTGTGTACAATGTTTCTTGTGTCTTCTTCAATAAATGTCTCTTTATTACATAGCTGGAGACTTTTTGGACAGAACTCATAGTGCCCTGGTAAGCATATTATCCGATTTGGCCGCCATTATTATTGTCTCTAATTTTCCAGTTTTGATTACCCTTATGGTTAAAGCAGAATTCTACACAGTCCTGTTTACAAGTTGACCATAGTTTCTTATCATTAATAATGTACTGACTTATACTATCTTAAATCACTTGTACTCACAAGTAAATAAAACTGCTAGGTTAAGTTTAATGATCTTATAGTAGAAAGCCATGCATATAAGCTCCTGGTATTCTCTTACACGTTATAGAATAAGTAAATTCATATATGCTGTCAATAAATCTTCCTGCAATTATTTCCTTCTCCCTCAATTGTGTTACTATCTAAATCTTTTCCCAGTGGACAGTAAGAATGGGTTGGGCCAGGTGAGCCTCAAAATCTTTATCCTGAAGTGGACAAAAAGAAAAAAATCCGACCACTGGTTTTTATTTGTTTCCTAGGAGTAAACTGCTTCTGATGCAGAGCTCATTTTTTCTCTTCACTGGGAGCACTTTACTAATATGATGTCTGTCAATTGTAATATCTCAATTTTTAAAAAACCTTGAAGAAAGTAATACTTCTTATGAGTCCAATGTTTTATAGTAACGTTGACAGAAAACTGGCAACCCTCACTAATACAGTTCATGGTCAATAACGTTAGTCATTGCAGTCCGAGATAATATAGTTAACTTGACTAAAGGAAAGTCAGTGTTAATAAATACGCTTAAAGACAATTCCCTTTGTAATTTCTACTACAACACTAATGATTGAAGGGAATTAACACCTTACTTTCATAAATAAATAGTTAACGTCTTATTTGTCTATGTTGTACAAATACCATTTGCTTTCACAATGCTTGTGAACAGTCAGTCCGTCTCATTTTACAGTTTGTGTGATTTATTTAGAAAACACCCTCTACAAGAGTATAAACCTTCAACTCAACCCTTGCCTAAGTGACCCCAAAGTGACGTTAATAACCAGGGAAGCTAATAGAAAGCTCCACACCCATGCAGGACAAGCAGACTTTCCATAATCACAAACACGCAAAAAGCACAGGAAGGCAGGTAAGACACGGTTTGTTTCACCGCAATTACTCTCCCAGCAACCCTGTGAGGGAGGCGAGATCAGCCCATTTGACAGACAGGGTCGCTGAGCCTCAGAGCTGCCTGGACTTGCCTGGGATCATAAAGCTCATGTTCTTTCCATTATTCTACACTGTTGAAAAGTTTAATCTTTAATTCAAAGAGGGCCTTGGTTAGATTTATTTCCATATTTCTAGTTAGTATCTAATAATTACAGATGGCTTTTGAACCCACTCTATCAACATAGCAATAACTGAATATCTTGGTTGTTTTCTGAGAGACCTCACCTTACTCCTTAAGAAAACCAACCTGACTCACAGAAAGGGTTGTGAAAAAACAGGTTTACCGGTTTTTTACCAATTTTTGGAGTAAAACTGCCACCTCGTGGACAAATGGTGAAATAAGGTAAGTTGCTCTAAAGCAGGGTTCTTGTTTCATTTGAGTAAAATTCTCAGTGGGTGTTAAGGAACGCTTCCAGAAACATTAAAACTCTCAGGAAAACAGTAACATATTTTCAGGTCACACAAAATAACCAAACTGCTGTTCTCACGCAAACTGCCAAGCTACATCCAATAAACACTTGTTCATTCTGTACGTATTTACTAAGCACCAGTTTTGAATTGTGACAAGAATACGAAGATGAATGAGGGCATATTCCATGGCCCTAGAAAATAAGATGCTACTCCTGTAGCCTCCTACGGTTAAATGGTTAAGATGTGTACCCTCAAGCCAGACTGCCTGAGTTCAAATCCCAGGTCTGCCACTAACCTACTACATGACTTTGGACAAGCCACCTGCACTTTGTCACTTCAGTGTCACCGTGTGCAGAGAGGGAATAACAGTGGCCTCGCCCCATAACCACCAGGCATCCTGTGGAATACCGAGCACCCTGTATGAGAAGGTCTTCCAGGGAGACATCCTGGAAGCGACATGGCCGTGGAAGGGCAGACAGCGTTTCCTCCCATGAAGACGGAGAAGCAGGGATGAGACCTGACGGAACAGACATCGGGTGGCAAACGAGAAACAAAGGCTCGATCTCCAGGATCAGAATTCATATTCATTTATCCCAGTAAACACTCCTCGAAATGCACAGAAATTTATGTGAAAGCTTGCTCAGCGCAGAACTGCTGAGTGTAAAATATAAACTATGGGACTGCCCAGGGATGGGAAACTGGTTAAAGCGATTTCAGCCCACCTGTAAGGTAACGGAGGAGGCCGGCGGAGGCCGGCGTGAGAAAGAACGAAGCGGAGCTCTGCGCGCGCATGCGCAGCAACCTCCACTAACGAGGTGGGAACCTGACAGGCGGCGGCAGCACCTAAGCACAGCAGCTCCCGGTGAGGCTGCCGAAGGGAACGAGCACTCGCAGCCCCAGCAGGCAGAGCCCTGGGATGAGAACCCGAGTCTGGGGAGGTGGGGAGTGAACTGACTACTCAGTTAACTCGGTGTTAAATGAGAGCACCACGCCTGGACGTTGTAGTGATAATCAGGCAACGCACAGGAAACCCTCGTCACGTGGCACACACTGGGCGGCAACTCGTTTTAGACGATTTCAACTTCTGATTTTTATTAGTATACATAATTACGAAGTCCAGTTTTTAAAAATAAAACTTATTTATATAAATTAACCCTTCTCACCACGACCAGTTTATGAGCTCGACTAATATGCTCACAGGGGCAAGCACACTCCTGGCTCCGCAGGAGCCACTGTGCTGCGTGGCTGCTTATACCAACTCACCAACGGGGACCTGGACCCCTCGTTGGAGCACATCCCTTACCAGAAACACAGAAGTATTTTTCCTACTTTACAAAAAATCTGAAGTCACAAATCTAAAATTTTAAGAGGACATTCCCATTACAAAAACTTCCTTTAACTAAAGGTGTATTTCCTTCCAGATAATTAACTACGTGGGGTGGGACAGGAACTGGGGGACGGTGGGAGAGGTAGCAAGTGTGGAAACAGCCAGTGACTGTCCAACAGGAATGATACATCTCAGAAAACCAAGAGAGAAATAAGTTCCTTATTAAAAGATGTGATTTACACTGATCCTTTAAAAAAATACAGCTTTTTTTCCAAAGCCAGCTACTCGGGCTTGGGGTTCAGAAACACAAGGTGATTATGTAAAGAAAAAAAAATCTCAATACGGACCAGAGGAGACGGTTTCCAGAGAGGAAAGCAGCTACTACACAGGTTCCAAACACGTGCAAAAGGCCGACGGGCTCTTCAGTACGAGACAAACGGCAAACTGTCACTGGTAGAAAGGCTGCCTATCAAAGGGAAGGACAAAAAACTGTTGTCCAATAAGGTCTATTTGCAGACCTTCTTCTGATAAGGGCAGTCAAGATGAAAGAAATAACAGAAGTAAAAAGAAAACCTGGGTGGCTAGCAGTTTGAAGTATCAATTCTGCCTCACCACTCTCTCTGAATCCATGTCTAACTGGCATCAGTTATTCAGAGCTGGCCCGTGATTTGCAACACATGAAACAGTGACAGACCCATTACCAGCTGAACCAGAACATGGGACCTAGGATAAGGGATGATGTCAAGGAGGGGGGTGGTGAGCTCGGCTGTTGCCTGGAAATCCCAAGGGCACTGATGAAAGAATCCGTGTTGCCAGTTTTGTTGTTTTCTAACCCCCAGAATAGGATTGAAAAATAAAGGCCTGCTCCCTTGGCCAGATTCCCAGTTGAATCCCTCTCTCCAGTCCTGAATGCCTACCCAGATGCTGACAGAGGATTCAGCTGTATTAAAACTGGTATCAACTTGTCCAAGGTGGACATGCACTATTACCAAGACAACTGAGATCGTCTAGCCAGAAATGCCTGAAAAAATTCAAACTATGACACGGGAAACCATGTCATAAAACAGGTACTTATTTTCCAATCATAGTTATTCCAGTCTCTTCCAAAGATACTTCTATAAGTAGTTTTTTTTTCATGTGTCAAGGAGATTCTCTTCCCCACAGTTAATGGAATCAAATCTATCTCAAGCATTAGATCTCGTCCATCTTACGAAGCAGGCACTATGACTCTACTCTCTTGTTCTCTAGAAGCTGGTCAGGTGTTTGCTGCAACACAGAAGTACTTTCTTTCCTCGTCATGGTAGCAAAAAGCATATCCATCATCCCCAAGGTTTCCAGCAGTTCTTTTTGATAATCAATCTCTTTCTCTACAAGCCCTTGAAGTAACAAAAACTTTTTATCAACTACAGGCGACTGGCCAATCACAGGCAGATAAATGTCTAGAAACAGAGAGAGAAAACACATTAACTAGAAATATCTTTGTGAATAATATATGAACAGCAATATTTAGAAAAAGCATAAAACTATTAAATATAGAGACATTGAAAAATCTGTACTTATTTTTCAATTTATGGTTTACAGAAAATAAACAATTCAATAAGTGTGTTTCAAAAAGAAGTAATTACAAAAAGTAACAGCATGGAAGCTCCGACTTATTTTCATTTTCCCATTAGAAAATTGTCATGATCACTGTAAATGCTCAAGAAAAAAGTTTTTTAATTACAGTAATCCTAGTCAGCACGATTCAAGGTCAAACCACTGTAGACATTTTACTCCAATTTAAAATGTATTGATAATTGTCGTTTCCCCCATAAAAATCTTCACTGAATAATTGATAAAAACAAGATATTTTTATTTGAGTTCCAAATTTAATTTCATATTTTGATATCTCACTTTTGCAAGCATGCTAGGATTTTTTTAGTTTTAACAACTACTTACCAATAACTATCTCAGCAGCATTGATCAAAACAGAAGCAAATCTTGGCTGGGAGAGATTCCTACAAAGCAAAAACTGTTTATTGAAACTTGCCAGTTTTTTAAAAAAAATCATAAAATAGATTTACTGAGTTGTTCTGTTAGTTCTCTACAAAGACCAAATTAAAAATAAACGTCTCACCCTGGCTGGTGTGGCTCAGTAGACTAAGCGCCAGCCTACAAACCAAGAGATCGCTGGTTGGATTCCCAGTCAGAGCACATGCCTGGGTTGCAGGCCAGGTTCCCAGTTGGGGGTGCAGGAGAGGCCACCAGTCAATGTTTCTCTCACACATCAATGTTCCTCTCCCTGTCTCTCCCTCCCTCCCCTCTCTCTAATAAAAATGAATACACAAAATCTTTAGAAAAATAAAAGTGAATGTCTCTCATTTGGAGAGAGAGATTTTAGATGCAAAAATACGTGTGTTTCATAGACATAAAACATACCTTATCAAAAAATTAAGAACACGACTGATTTCTTTCTCGTCCCGACCTGCAAGGGCGTTTGCCAGGACTCCTCTTCGATTCAACTCCTTTATGATGGAAACTGTAATCTCAGGCGTCTTTATTGTACAGCTGGGCTAGAAAATTTTCAGAGTCAACATGAGCAGACAAGACAGCACAAGAAAAACTGCAGACTTGGAACTTATTAACAATTGCCATATTTAAATGTTTTTATTTTCAGTTTTGAGTCATGCCAGTATACAAGGTTAGTAATAAGATGACTGTTTTAAAAATATGCTCCCCATAGGTTCGCCAATTGTAATAGTCAGTCAGTTGTTGAATGGGGAGGCTATAATGAACGCTGTAGGTTCGCCGACTGTAATGATTGATGGCCTGTTAATGGGGAAGGCTATGCATGCTGAGGGACCAGGCACATATGGGATAGCTCTGTACCCCCCTCAGTTTGGCTGTGAAGCTAAAACTGCTCTAAAAAATAAAGTCTTAATAACAATATACATTTTACACACACACACACACACACACACACACACACACACCCCTCACCCCCCCGTCACTCCTCTTACCTCCAGAACTCTGTCGAGGGCTTTGGAGACTCGGAAGTTTTTCAGGTCCCTGTCATACAATTCCAAGTGTTTTTTTGATGGCCTGTTGATCAAAATGTCATCCTGCAATGAAAAGTAAATTTAAAGAGAAAAATCGACTCCTGTACAGAATTCCACTCAAAATAAACTTCTTCCCCCGACCAAGCAGCTCAGCTGGGTAGAGCACTGTCCCAATACACCGAGACTGTGGTTTCAGTCGCTGGTCAGGTCACACACAAGAACCAGCTGGTGAATAAGGGGAACACCAAATTGATGGTTTTCTCTGTCTCTATAAATGAATTTAAAAAATTTTTTTGAATAAATAAAAAATAAACTTTTTCATACTGGTATTTTTTTATACCAAGTGCCCCTACACTATTCATGAATAATGGTAATATGCCTATAATATAGGTAAAATGAAAACAGAATAATGTGTCACATCAATGTGTTCTTACTCTCCTATTATTTAACTTACAACATACACAGTACCTCAATTCTGGGGAAACGTTACTGATCTCAAACCTCTTCACATGGCAGGCAATGTGATTCAGTAGAAAGAGAAAACAAAACTCAGAGAAACTGCAATCTAGTCAACAATCCCGGTTACCGGCAATGAAACTCTGGATACATCCCAACTTCTTTATGTGTCTCTCCATCTCCTCAGATGCCAAGTGGGGATGCTATTGACTTTACTACTCTTCAGGGTTATTTAGAAGAAAATGGTGTGTGAAAGACATTGCTTTGAATAAGTAAACTGCTATAACATTGTTATGACTGGGGGTGTTAAAGTAAGTAGTGCTAATTCTCCATTCCTCATTAGTAATGCCCCCAACCTAGCAACCTGGAGATAAATCTGACGTAGAAAAAACAAAATAAAGCTCAATGCCATATAAATTTCTGCCAAATTTCACACACAAAAAAAAATAGAGAAGAAATATATAAATACCCTTTGCTTCATGTAATTTTTTCCTTTAATAAAAGTTCGATATGCAGGCCTTCTTCTTCTGGGGAGAGAATCCTTCTTGGGCTCAGATTTCCGATGTTTAACACTCAGTATCCCGTTGGTCATTCCCACAACTATCGTTTCATCTTCATGCTAATAGCAATAAGAAAAACGAGTTAGTCTATTCCTACCTCATCATGCCTTTCTTCAAAATACCATTTATAACGCGTTCGCTGCTCACCAATACTTTCACCAAGAGCTGCACTCAGATACAGACACTGCATCATTGTGATTTACACAGAAAGTTAGAGCCAAATCGTTTTTTCCTCCAGGACACTATTATACTGACAAAATGTACACCTCCTACAAATTATCACTGTCAGTTTGTGTTATATTACATAGTTAATGACATCTTGGAAAATCCTAAAATATTTTTTTCTGCATCCTTTTACTAGAAAGAAGGATTATGTAGTGACATCATTTTCTACAGCCCTGCCAAGAAAATACTAGGTTTTCCACTCCTAGTTTAGATTTCTATCTAATGTATTCAAATATCCTCTTCCTCAATGGCTCATGAAACCTGGCAGTGGACATTCCAGAAAGAGCAGTCAACAAATAAGAGGTATTTCATTTTGTTGCCCCCTTTTAAACCTCCTGGTTTTAATTTTTTGGCTTTTTTTTTTTTTTTTTGCTCAGAAAGTTACATTTCACTTTGTAAAGTCCTTAAGCCTTGAGTGAAATGTTTTGAAGAGAAATGCATCAGTTTCCCAGGTCCTGCCCTTAGTGTTAACAATGGCTACAGCACTGCACTTGTTTGAAGCTATGTAGCACAGTGGGACCTAAATCTGAATGTATGCTAAGCTACCAGGACAAGTCATATGTTCTAGTAATTGTCTTAATTCAGTTCTCTAAGGTGGCAAGAAGAAAATAAGACTTACTCAAATACAAAGATAAACCCTAACATTCCACTGTAGTTTCATTTAACAGGCAAGGTCGGTGAAAGCTTTAAAAGGAACTAAAAGGACTTACTGCAAGTGCGAGACTCAAAATTGAAGCTGCGTAATCGAAACCGTGGACTACTTTGTAGGAAGTTGTGCTATATACTTTCACCTTCCTGACAGAAGAGAGAGCTGTGTCACAGATCATCTTGGAAATGAGTATAAAATGCAAATTTCCTATTTTTTTTAAAATTCAATATATGAATATTAAAATTTATAAAGAAAAACAATGATTAGTAACATTAATTGCGAACTAATTTGCCAATGAATCTTTTCTTTTTTGTAAGATTTTATTTATTTATTTTTAGAGAGAGGGGAAGGGAAGGAGAAAGAGAGGGAGAGAAACATCAGTATGTGGTTGCCTCTCATGTGTCCCCCGCTGGGAACTGGCCTGCAACCCAGGCATGTGCCCTGGACTGGGAATCCAACGGGCCACCCTTTGGTTTCCAGACCAGCGCTAATCCACTGAGCTACACCAGCCAGGGCTGAATCTTTCTTTTAAAAATGACCTATTTATTAGGACTATCACAACGCCTGAATAAAGACTCTGAGTTGCCGCCGGGACAGACAATGAACCACTGCTGCCTGACGGTGAAACTTGAGAGTAAAGAAGCGCCAATGAAAGCACACGGGAAATCTAAAGAGCGGGCTTCCTCAGCTCAGCACTAGTGACACTTAGGGCTGGACGACTCTTTGTCGTGGGGCTGCTCTGTGCACTGCAGGATGTTTGGCAGCAACCTTGGCCTCTACCCACTATATGTTACCCGCACTCCACCCTCAAGTCGTGACAACAACCCAACTGTCTCCAGATACTGCCAAATAGCCCTTGGGGGACAAAAATCACTCTGGGGTCAGAACTGCAAGTAGAGCCAACTTATTTAGCTTTTGAGAGACACATCTAAAAACTTAAGTCCCAAATTGCCTAGTAACACCACTAGAGAATCTGCTATATATTTACACAATAAATTCCTTTGTATTAGAAAAGTTTTCTGCCCTGGCTGGTGTAGCTCAGTGAATTAAGCACGGGCCTGTGAAGAAAAGGGTCTCCAGCTCAATTCCTGGTCAGGGCACACGCCTGGGTTGCAGGCCAGTTCCCAGCAGGGGACTCACGAGTAGCAACCACACATTGATGTTTCTCTCCCACTTTTTCTCCTTCCCTTCCCTTCCCCTCTCTCTAAAAAGAAATAAATAAAATTTTTTTAAAAAAGAAAAGTTTTCTAGCTTTAAAATATGTATACTTTTTAATAAACAGACTGAAAAAACAAGTCTTTAGTAACAGGGGGCAAACATAACGGAACTAAAATGACCAACAACAGATGAGTATAAGTGAATTCTATGGCTGTGCCCGAGTTTTAGCCACGTGTGGCTTCTGAGCACCTGAAATGCGGCTAGTGAAAATTAAACTCAAATTTTCTTACTTAATTTTAATTAACTTAAATTTAAATTTTCGGGCTGAGGCAGTGTAGGAAGTTTTCTGTGAAACACAGGTGTGTTCTCTCCCACCAGCACACGTTACTGTCATCACAGGGCACGTGTTACACCCACTGCTTCTAGTCTCCCAGTTTTCAGTGATTACACACTGCAGTATTTTAGCTGCAGTGGATCAAATCAATTTTACCAAGTTAAACTAATTTTACCTAGTTTTTTTTACCTTTTTAATGTGGCTTCTAAAACATTTTAAATGAAATGTAGCTTGCACTATATTTCTACTGGAGAGCATTATTCTAGAACATTAATGATGGAGTACTAATACTTATTAAAGTAGATAATTGGACCGTATTAACATACAGAAATTTATATATGAAGTTTAAAATTTTAAAAGAATATAAAACTAGTTGAAAATACATTAAATATACAACAGTGATTTTAAAAGAAACTCTAGAGTATAGATTATTTTAAAATATCAATGTTTGGCTCAGTAAAATTTGTTAAGTATTTAAGTTAAAGCAATAAACTACATCAAAGGAGACAATAAGTTTGTTATATGTAAATAAAAAGTTAAACCTATTTTCAACTCAACAGATTTTTTTTCATGGAAATTATTTGGCAGAAATTTATTTTACCACAAACACGGCAGAAATAACTCATCTCCTTAAGCAGTGACTACTTGTGTATTAAGAACGACGAGGAAGGAAAATTAAAATGCTAACCTATCCAGTGAACCGGAGAGTAACCTCTGCCCAGAGCTGCTCAGGCACAAACATGTCACGGTTTTATGGTGATTCTTCAGAGACACTAGCAACTGTCCCCCTTTTAGCATGTCCCAGACTTTAACGTAACGGCCTCCTATAAAAAGAAATAATCGTTAGTTTGATATTCCACCTACAGGTTAAAAATCTTAAAGATCTGAAAAGCTCTCTTTGCGGACGCTCCGCAGCACAGAGGTGAAACGAGGGCCCACAGCCAGACCGCCTGGTTTCCGAGCTGAGCCCACCACTTATTTACTACGTGCGGAAGTGATGGTAACAACTCCACCTCACAGAACTGTTGGGACGTTTAAGTAATCCCAAATTTGTAAAGTACACAGAACTACCTGGTAAAATAAAAAGGAAAATGAAAAAGGATTTTAAGAAAATTATAGTAAGATGGGACAACTGTAACTGAACAAAAATAAAAAATAAGAAAATTATAATAAAATCACTCAAAAGAAATGTTAAAACCATGGAAGTAATGTAGATTTTATTTCCTAAAAATTTTGCGAATCCCAATCAAACCGAAAAACTTCCCTATAACTTCTTATCCTAAGAGTTGGAAGGACCCTAAAAGGCAATTTAATCCAATGATTTAAAAGAATTTTTTTAATATACCATCTTTTCTTTTCATGAAACATTAAGCGAAAAGTCCAATAGGTAACAAAGAAAAAGGGGCTGTGGCCGAGGGAGCAAATTTCTGACCCATCCTGACAGGGCAAAGCGCCTTGGCCCCAGTTCACGGTCCCTGCCTCCTGACACGTGGACCTGACACGCAGCAGCTCACGAGAAAGACTACAGTGGGAAACCACTGATCCAGCCCAACCTCTCATCTCCAAGATCTACAGAAGTCAAGGGGTTGCTGAAGGTCACATAACTCGAGACACAGTGGAGATTAGCATACAGGTAGGTACCTAATGTCCCCGTTCATCTTGAACTTTTCATTTCTCAAAATAATAGCAAGACAAACAGATAACTCTGACAATGTCATCAACTTATTTTGAAACCAAATAGGTCCTGGGAAGATAGTATAAAACAAGATAATTTCAGAATTAAGGAAAAAAAGGCTACACACAGCCATGGATATGCTATTAAGTATACATACCACCTATGTATTCTTCTAAGGTCAACACATTAATTTTAACTTGACAAATGAACAGGTAATTTACTTCTTCCATTACAATTTTGAAAATGCACTATGACCAACATAACAAAAAAAAATACCTCAGTTCCAAATAGATGAGAAATGTACCAAGGCCTCTTCTGACCTCACATCATCTCCTCCTCCACCACTACCAGCTACCTGCTGGGCAAGGCCATTTTAATCAAGAGTCACGGGAAAAGAGACAAGCTGGATTCTAGATCCTAAAAACACTGTGTTTTCAAAAGCTGCCACAGATCTCTCAGGTGAGAATAATAGCAGTTTTACAACCTGTTTGGGTTAAGGACATAAGCAGGCTCTCCAATTCTGGGGTTTCAGATCTGCCACTTTGCCTTAAACAAATTAGTTAAAACTTCTGTTTATTTCCTTAGTTGCAAAATAGGGAGAAAACCAACTACCTGTAGGCTCGTCTAGGGCATCAGAGACAATATACATGTGTAATAGCAGTGTCTGGTTGACATTCGGTACTCAGTAAATGATAACTGCTTGCCTGTCCCACTCATCAACTGTTTGCTCAAAAACCTAGATAGACCAGTCAAATGTACACTGATAAATTATAAAAAGGGACTGATAAAGTATCGGATTCAAGACTAACAGTACTGGTGAAAGAAACTGTTAAAAGAAGTACCTGCTGATACCAGAAGACCTCCAGAGGGAAAAAGCAGGACACTCTCCACTGGCTGCCCGTGCTCGACAGAGAACACACTCTTGTTTGTTCGCGTATCAAACATCTTCACAGTATGATCATAGGACCCTAAAATGCCAATATTTGCATTACGTGAGTTTCACTACTCAAAAACAAAAGCTGTATATGTGTGTGTCTGTATGTGTATTCAAACATAAATTTTAAAAGAGAAGCTCAGATGAAACTGTTAAATGACACATGTAAATTCATAAAGACAGAGCACTTCCAAACTCTTTGCTACCACTGTCTCTTTCTGAAGAAGCCCAACACTATCTCACACTAGTCCCGTCTCTGGCTTCTGTCACCACTGAGTCACCTGGGAATCTTGCTCAGGTCCCCACCAAGACCAAACTGCATGGTCTTTGTTTCTGGGCTGCTGGGGGCTCGGAAGTCAGAGTCCTAAACCCATTACAGTCTGACCGTCTTATGGAAGCTTTACAAGGCCGCCTGATGTTTCCACATACATGTAGAGGGCAATATGATCACCAAAAGAAGAAAGAGACAGTAAAACAAACGGGTACCCAGAAATATTATTTCTTTATAAAAATATTTGAAACTCCTCTATCTCAAAAGAGTCCCAAAGCATTATCAAAGTCTACCACAGTACATTTATCAACCTCAGGGGGGAAAAAAAGTTTACCAACCTGTTACAAAGAGATCTGGATTCAGTTTGCTAGCACATCCACACCTCACATAATCAGAATGTTCTCTGAATGTCAGAATTTCTTTGGAGTTTGGAATATCCCATAATTTAACTGTATAATCATCAGCCCCAGAGACCACATGGTATTTGTCAGCTGTAAAATCCACTGTGTGAACTGCTCTGAAAGATCAAGAATCCGTATATTAAAAAATGGGAAAATTATATTCCTGGCATCTTCTCTCATAAAAAACTCCTTTTCCCCAAATGACCAAAAGGGGGGAAAAAAGGAGCAGTTCAGTTTCAAAGAGTAATTGCAAGGTGAAATCATGAGGGAAAAAGAAAATCTTTAAAACAGGTCTTTGTCCTCAAGCTAATTTAAAATTTTAAATACCGATGCATTATGAACTTAGTAAGAATAGTAAACAATAGCCTTAAAATTTTCTAATATGTTAAGAATTCTACTTAGCTGCTCAGTGAAAATAAATATTCCAAATGTTGTTACAAAAGTACTCTAATTTTAACAATTTCAAAATGGGTAGTTTTTAAAAAATTCGAAGAAGGGGTACCACTAAGCAAGATTATATTAAGTGAATTTGTGCTATATTTTAAATGTTTCACTAATGGGGTAAGACCATCCTGCTAAAACAACATAAAAAAAACACAAGATTTTCCATCGACAGCAACTTACAATGACATTGGTAATCATGAATCAAAGAAATTGCAGGGGCAAAATACTAAGTCCAAGAAAAATCCACCTTCTGACTTGACTTCCTATGAGAATTTCTAATACAGGCCAGGTTTAGAAAGTTCTCATTAACAGCTGTGAGGCTGCCTCTAGAGCAGTGTTTACAGTCTCCACTGGGTCACAGAACGCGCTGGGGAGTTCATGAACACTACCGGGTATCTTCGGGAACACCCATCTCCTCGAATGTCACACACAGGGCTCAGGAGGTCATGAGCACCATCAAACCTGACCTTAACACTGAACCAGCATACAGATTCTGTCCTAGAACAACCAGGACACAAAGTACGTAAAGTATATTATCTTCTCTATGTTTTTATTCAAAGTCCAGAAAACAAATAGAGCTTAGAAAACAAAACAAAAAAGGACACATAAAAACCAATTATCTATAACTATATAGTGAAAAAAGTTAGACTTATTATGATCTTGTTGCAATACACACATATTATCAAATCACTATGTTGTACACCTGAAGCCATTGTAATATAGTGTTGTATGTTAATTATACCTCAATTAAAAAACAAGTTTTTAAAACTGCCTCTTACTTAGTATGGCCTTCAAACTGTCTGAGGGGAGCCCTCCCAGTTATGTCAAAAAGCTGAACTCCACCATCTTCACTGCCAGCCACAAGCAGTCTGCCATCTTGTCGAAAAGTAGCACAGTACGCTGTGTCTTTAAATCGGGAAAAGGTTTTTATAGGCTCTTGGGAATATCGGCCATAAATGTGAATCTAAAAGATAAAACACAGAGAAATCACCAGATGGCCCACAATCAGTAGTGAACATAAACTATACAAAAAGTAAATAAATTTAATGTTATATTTACCCTTGAAGAAGCTGTGACAGCATAATTATATGGAGGCTGCGGAGAAAAGTCTACTTTTGACACTGCACCAAACTCCTTGATCTGAACAGGAGTCTTAATAAAAAAAATGACAGAGAATTAACGGTTACAACTAATAATTTCTATTCAAGCCCTATATAATTTTTAAGTATATATTTTAATTTTATTTATTTATTTTTAGAGAGAAAGGAAGGGAGGGAGAAAGACAAGGACAGAAACATCAGTGTGTGGTTGCCTCTCACATGGCCCCCACTGGGGGACCTGGCCTGCAACCCAGGTATGTGCCCTGACTGGGAATCGAACTGGCAACCCTTTGGTTCGCAGCCTACGCTCAATCCACTGAGCTACACCACCCAGAGCCCTATATAATTTCTTATTGACCATTTTTTTGTTCTTAGTAGTATTTACTAAGTTGTACTTAATACAGAAGTATGAGAAAAGCCAAAGGTCCAAATCCCATCACCCCATCTTCTGCCTGTTGCCATTAAAGTACATATGTGTAGGGCTGGAAAGCCACACTGCACTCCCACTTCAGCTGGAGTTTCCTGTAATTACTGGGGAAAACATCACACCCATACTGCACACATCGAACAGTGTATTTAACTGACACAAAGATGACACCATGCAGGCGGTTCTGCACCTTGCTTGTTCCTCACTTAATACTGCATCTTAGCTAACTTTGAATATAAGCAATAGATTTATCATGTTACAGGTCACATCATAATTTACCAATCCATACTAATGGACACAGGTTTTTCCAAGATTTCTAATATTATAAATAATGCTTCAATGAACATCTTTTTTCATATATCTTAGCAAATTTTGGGGAGCGTATTCATTAAGTTCCAAGCTGTGGAACTGACAAGGCTGAAAGGTATTTTTATCATGTTAGATAATTCCAAATTGCCCTCCAGAAAGTTTGCACCAGTTTCTCTCCATCGAGTAGTAATGATCAAAATGTTTCACTTATACCAATATAAAAGATAAAAAACAGTAACCAAAGTATTGTTTTAATTTGCATTTCTTTGATTACAAATGAAGAATATATTCACGTTTATTGGCCATTTAAATTTCTTTTTCCTCTGCTCTCACATACACTAAACTTCTATTTCCATTAGCCTCCCACTCCCAATCTTTTTCCATTTTCTATTTAGTTGTTTTAAAAAATCAATTGTAATTCTTTATAGTCTAGAAAAATTAATTTTGCATTACTTCCTCCTTAGAGTAAGAAAGAAAAAAAACCTTGCATATGAGATTCAAATTCTAAAATTTTATTCATTTATCACTGATTAATCATCTATTCTGTGCTAGGCATTTGTGTGGTCACACTGATTAAGCAGCATGGACTTTTACATAAAATTCCAAGAAAATATCTGATACCAAATTTTCTGTCCAAACTATAAGGTGTTCATAAATTATGTTTAGTGATTAGTTCTCTACTAGATTATCCAAAGTATAACACATGCTTGAGAAATTGGCGTAAATACTTACCTTGTAATTGTTCCAATACAGTGTATCTTGGGTGATTTTTTCACCAAGTATAGGATATGCCTGAATAGCTGCAGGCTTATAACCAGCCATAATTTCATATAATTGGGCTGTTATCCAAAAGTAAGTAGCTTGAAACTGGTATTAGAAATGATTATAGTGACTCTGCCTTATGTCTGAAAAAGAAAAGTATTTTATATACCTGTTATTCATAAACCTGTATATACAGTGATGATTTTTACTCTGCATCCTTTCAAAAGGCTCTGTAATAACTTAGTGATCAAGAAGCCATTTAATGATAACACAGAAGAAACAATCTAAAGGAAGCAGGAAGAATACAGATAGGGATACCATACTGAAATTCTAAAATTAAACTCTAAATTAAAGTGAGAGAATAGGATAAAAATTAATTAAAACTTTTAACTGACATGTAATTAAGTGAAAATGTCTTTCCAGAACTATTCAATTGCAAGAGATTCAATTTTATCAGATGAATGATTCCAGTGGTACAACTCATTACCCATTACAGAAAGCCTGAGAACAGTGCATCAGAAACACCAAAATATGTAAGTGCAATATATGTTAAAGGCTGTTTTGATGAAACATGGTAACCAATGGTTAAGAAGGGGGGAACTTTTCTGTTCATTCAAGTACTTACAATGGGTAGGACACTGTTCTAGGTGTTGGGATACAATGAGGACCAGAAAACATGGTCTGTACCCTCATACACTCCAGTGTTTTCCATTTCAGCTCGTGACTGGACCAGCTAGGAATCTGGGATCAGTCTTGACTTGTCCTTCCTTCTCACTTCTAACATCTGAAAAGATCTGCTGGTTTTACCTCCCAAATCTGTCTAAACTTCATCATGTTCACTCAGCCTAGTTCCACTGCCCTAATTCATCTCTCTCATCTATGCAAACGGTGAAACATAAAGTCTCCCTAACTCCCTCATCCATCTTCCAAATAGCCATCAGGGTTATCACAGTACAGTGCAAATCTGGCTTTTGCTACAAAGCCCAACCATGCCCAGAAAAGAAGGTCCAAGCTGTGGACCTTCTAATGTGGCATGGAAGGCCCTTTGTGCTCTGGTCCTTGCTTTCCTTTCCAGCTTCACCTCTTGTACTCTTTAACGTGCCATGCTCTTTCTTCTCTCAATGGCTTTGCTCATTTGTCTGCTCTGCCAGGAATGACCTCTTCCTACCAACTTCCTACTTATCATTTAAGACTCAACTCAAGGATTACATCCCCCAGGAAAACTTTTCTGATCCCTACACTGGCTCAGGGCCCTGTCTTCTACTATCCTAGTTTACTGCATGTTTCTGTCAGTGCACATAATCACATACGTGATTAAACTAAACATTTTAGTAAACATTTCATTTGGAAGATTCTTTTTTTTTTAAGTGCTCAAAGACTGTGGAACAACGTAAAGGAAGCATCATGCTGGGTTCCACAAGAAAACAGAAAATTAAAATCTTAAGTGGTGTCTATAAAATGAACATTGCTATAAAAAGGAGCTGACAAACTTTTCCTGTAAAGGGCCAGATGATAAATATTTTAGGATTTGAGGCCCAAGGCCAAAATAGAGCATATTATGTAGTTACTTATAAAGTAGAAAGGAAATTTCCATTTCTTTTTACTAATGAAGCTCCCTAAATAGTTGAGTTCAATTTTTTATTTATGAATGAAAATAGGATTCTTTGGAGGAGGATAATATTTCACTTGCTTCAGGTTCAAAGTTAGTGTTCCCCATCATCAAATAGATGGCAAATGTTCATCTGTAAAAATCATTCCTGGTTCACTGGCTACCACAAACAGGCACCAGGCCAGATCTAGCCTGCAGGGCTTTGCCCCATACTAGAGTATAGACAAGGGAGCATATAACTTTGTCAGGAGAGAAACAGTTTAAAACTTAAAAAGGAAGAACTGAGGAGCAGTAGCAGTGGTTTCCCAGATTAAAGTGAGAACAGCACTGGCAGGGGAGGGAACACAACACAATGCAAAGGCATGGAGGCACGAAGTGTTGTGGGAAAGAAAAGGAAAAACATTATCCAGGAGAGGTCAGAGCCTGAGAAACTGGGACTACACGGGTAATTAGGAACTACACTATAATGCAGAATATCAGATATATTCTATTAGTATAGAGTACTGAGAAGCTCAGAAGAGACTTTCCTTCCTAACTGGGTGGCTCCCAGAGATATTCAACGTGTGCATTTCAGCTGGGCTTTGAAGTTTGATATTAAAACAGCTTGACCACTTAAGATGGGCGCAAGGGCGAGGGCAGAGGAGAAAGCATGTGAAATCGAAGGAACCACATAAAAGCAGAGACAGAAACTTGCCCACTGCCCTGCAGGGGTGAGGATTACTCCAGTGACGAATAACGGTGGGCAGTGTGAAAGGATGTGATCGTAAGGGAGCAAAATATGGGGCGAATCGAAATGGAGGGGATCCTCACCGGCTGGCTGGTCCTGCGGAGACTGGGAAGCCCCAGAAGAGCATGCCAGATACCAAGGAAGGCCGGACATGAATCTGGGCTACCCGCATCCGGAGCCTCCTTCACCTACCTCCGATGGGCCCAGAGACACCGGGACTCCAAAGAAAATTTCTTGGATTTCACCACACCCCTGCCGGGACTGTCCGGAATCACCAGAAGAAAACCACATGGACCCTAAAGGGAGTCGGCGAGACACAAGGCAAATAGGAAGGCCAGACCCGTCGCCCAATGATGATGTAACAGCACAGCCTCCCAGTCAGGAGCTGCAGGGGCGGGGTAGGTGGGCGCGGCGATGGAGAGGAGGAGGCGTGACCCAAGGGCGAGGCGGGGGTTAGCGCTAGCTCCTTGGGGAGGTTCCCTTAAATGACCCTGTGTGTAGTACTCAGGCGTTGAGCGCTGCGAGGTGAGGCGCTGCGGGCGGGCGAAGGACCCGGAAATCCTGTCCGCTGTTGCTAAGCGGCACGTTTTCAGTCCCGAAAGCGGAAGAAGGAATCGGAAGTGACGTTGCGGTCAAACAAGTGAATCTAAGGCCGCGGATGGAAAGGCCCACCTCGCTGTCGGCTGTCGAAGGTGGTCTCGAGACCCTGCGCTCCCACCCGGTGGGCCTGAGGCCCCTGTCCCGCGGACCCGCCCGCTGCGGGTGAGCCAGAGTTTCCACCTGCCGTAACTGAGCCGCGCTAGGACTTTTTGGGCAGAGCTGGCGGGTGGCAACAGGGCGGACTTCCCTCCCCACAACAGTTTTCCCTCTAGCGGGCTCTTGTCCTGGGACTCTGGGACACCTGTCGCCTATGAGGCATTATTAATTTTCACAGTATCTTCCTCTCCTTGCAGGACAACTCCAGGATTAGGAAGAACCAGGGAGGCATCTATTATTAGCGTCCATTGGGAACTAGCACAGTCTCCCAGTTTATCGCGTTAGATTCTCTCTTCATCCCTGGGCTCTGATAGATAGAGGTGAGGATCATAGCTATCCTTGGCCTTACGTCTTTTTCTCACTGCCTCCTCTTCTTGATCATTTTTTTCCTCTCCTGTTCTTCAAAATTTTGGCCTACCCAATCAACTTTGTTTCTCCTCTATAGAGTAGTGCCAAGATAAGATCACTATTTCTGCTCCTTCCTCCCTCAGATGCATTCCCTTCAAAGACCTGTAGTTCCACCTATAAACCCTGATTTATAACATGGACAGTATTTACAGCTGGAAAAACTATTATACGTGCATATTTCAACCATCTTTATAAATGAATAAAATGACTCTCAGAAGACTTACACGATTTGTCTGCCCAGGGCTTCCACGGCTAGTACTAATAGTGATGTTGGGAATGGAATGCCAGATGTGATTAACAAGTGTTTGTCAAGCATCACGCAGGGTCATTCCAGGATAGAAAAGAATATGACATAAAAATGAATTAAAATTTAGATTAGAAAACATTTATGGAGCACCTGATAGGACCAAGCACTGTTTTGTGTGCAAAGATTAGTAAGTGTAGTCCTCATCCTTGAAGAGTTTTCAGAAAATTTGTTAGAATCGAAATGGAAACATTCCAGAGAATGATAAATGCTAAAATGGGAATACGTGCAGAGTGCCAAGAGAGCTCAAGGGAGTTTCACTTAGGTGTCCTCAGGGTAGGAGTCTGTAGGGTTGGCTCTGACCTAGGAAAACACTCTTCTCGTCTTGCAATGCCCTTTTAAAGACCTCCACATTGCACCCGCATCTCCATTTGAATCACGACTCATTTTCTGCTCTGGTTTCCTTCCTTCCTTCACTAAAGTCTATTGACTTTGTTATGTTACTTTCTTTTTTAATTACTATTGCAGTTTGTTATTCAACTCTTTCTCCCTCCTAGTTTTGGATTAGTCTAGTGCTGTTGCTTATTTTAGGGGGCAGGGTGATGGAGTCAGAACAGCTGGATAGGTCCCTCATAATTCAGGAGACCCCTCCCGTTTTCTCTATGATGGACATAATGATTACCTGCCCTGACAATTCAACGGAGTGTTATAAGGATCAGTCTTGCAAAATGTTTATCAGTAAATGTATGGTTTGCCAACCTCTGCTTCACTAATGCATTCTTTAATTTTAAACACTGCATTCTCTCAGGATTTCTAAGAGACAGTAAACTATAACATGAAAAAATTAACTGGATGTTATTGTCTTCATGTCCCAGTGATTATATATCTGGGAAAATTACATATCTTGGATTTCTTCATTTTTTTTAGAACCAATTTTAGGTACAATAGTGAAATCTCCCTTAAAATTATATTAAGGTCCATAGGGGAAGTGCTAGTGATTACTGAAAACTAACCATAAAATAACAGTAAATGATTCAGTAACAGGTGTGCTTATAATCGATATTCTGAGAATAAGCAGTTTTTTACTTGGTGTCTTAACAGTCTATATTTGGAAAAAAGTAATTAATACTTATAACAAGGTTGAGAGCCAAAAACTCTTTGCTGATTCTAATGTCCTAGACATTAGGATTTAGCATGTCCTAGACATGCTAAAGCAAAGGAAGCCAGTCTACAATCTCCACAATTTATTTTCATAAAAACCTAAATTACTTTGGTAACACGTGATCTGAACAAAAACTGATAAAGAAATATGTCTTCAGTTCATCATAACCAAAGCTTTGTAAAGTCTTTTACTATCCAGGAGTCACGGGTGTTGTCAATGCCAATAGACTTGGGTACATTATGAGTTCTTTCTTAAATTCAAACTGAGAGCCACTTACAAACAGCATAATCAAAAATGAACCTAAGGTGAGAAGTTCAAGTTTTCACATAAAAGTTTATTTTTTATTGTTAGCCTAATCTTTTATCCATCTGACAATATTCAGGAATAGAAAAGGAGATTAAAAGGTAACTAAAATTTGTTGGAACCTAGTGATGAAGATGAAAATGTTACTGTATTGCATTTGGTCTACCAGCATACTGTGAGGTTAACATGGGTTTTCCTGTTTTACAAGTGAGGCCGAGGCTTAGATAGTTGGAGTTAGTTGTACAGGTTCACACACAGATAATAAGAAGCTTGGGTTTATATTCAGGGTTCTCTACCTATGAACATTGTATGCTTTCTGTTATTAATAGATGCTTATAAGAGCACTGTTTGCATACTTGATTGAAAATGACTATTTTGTGTACTTTTACCTAAGTTGATAGCATACTTTTAATTTTTTTCTTTCAGGTTTTTTTAATATCCAAATTTCAATAATACCCTGGATATCACTCTTACAAAAACAAAAGGAAATTATGAAGAAATGTTTTAATTATTGAAACTACAATTGAAATCATGGCCACATCAGCAAATCTGGACCTTGGAGCCCAGCTGATAGTGGAAGAGTGTCCCAGCAGTTACAGTCTAACTGGCATGCCGGACATTAAACTAGAACATCAGCTGGACGCAAATGCAGAAGAAGCATCGGCTCAGGGTGTTGCCATGGGGATGAAATTCATATTGCCTAACCGATTTGATATGAATGTGTGCTCTCGATTTGTGAAGTCCTTAAATGAAGAGGATAGTAAAAACATTCAAGATCAGGTTAACTCTGACCTGGAGGTGGCGTCTGTCCTATTTAAAGGTTGAAAGTTATGGTATAAATCTCTGCATTTGTTTTGCTTTTGTTTATTTATTGTTTTTTTCTTCCCTTTCCAATCATGAGATTTTGAGTTTGGGGAGAAAGTTTGGAAGTTATCTTTTAGTATGATTTTTCTAGAATCTTACAGAAAACATAATGAAATAACTTCATGTTATATAATGTCCAAAGTACATGTAGTTTTTTTTTTAATTTTTTGCTTCACCTTTGTTTATTTGGAAAGTCTTTAATATAATTCTTTATTGTACCTTTTTAAATCATGGGAGAAAAATATTGGTGCCTTTTACAAATGAATTAGCATAATATTCCCTATTCTATGACTATTTGATCAGTATTAGTTTCCTATGCTTTCAGTCAGTAAAATATGTTATTATATTGTAGATTTATAATAATCTATTGAATAAAAATACTAATCCCAGAATGAAATTGCTCAACATTAATACAGATTTTTTTCTGGAACTTTCACTATGGTAGTACAGATTTTTTTAATTAAAAATCACTTAAGAAACAGTTGAAGATATACCTCATGTATTTTTTTATGTAAACATCAACATAGAACTTTGAAATGCTTTCTCATTAAAATATTGTTTTAATGTGTTTAATTTATTTTACTTAGCTGAATGCAATATCCATACATCTCCTTCTCCGGGAATCCAAGTAAGACATGTCTACACTCCCTCTACAACAAAGCACTTCTCACCCATAAAACAGTCAACTACCTTAACCAATAAACACAGAGGAAATGAGGTCTCAACCACACCTCTGTTAGCAAATTGTAAGTATTTCCCACCAATGTATTAAACTATTTTTGTTACTAATATAATGGTTTCAAGAGTTTGGCTTTGAAATGTTATTTTCAATTAAATGCATATTTCATTTTGGAAAACTGAAGTGATGTGCTCTAGATTTAGTAATTTAAATTTCACAGATTACTGTATATTCAAATTATTCACATTTTATGTTTCTCTGTTTAAAACAAATACAGATTGAAATATTCTTAAAACCCTTACAGTTTATCATAAAAACAATAAGTTATTCTAAACATTGTGCAAAGTAAGACATTTTGTTTTGTTTTCTTGGAGTGCAAGGCTTTACATTTTGCTTATAAACTAGATTACTGATCCACAAGTTATCTGTAGTAAAAGTGGAGTGGTTTCTGTTGTAATTTTGAATTTGAATATAAGTATTAAACTGCTTTTTTAAAAACTTTGAGTCTACAGGTTTTTTTAAAGATGTATAATCACTTTAGAAGAAGTGAAGTTTTTCTATATACTGTATTCTGTATAGCAGACAGAATATACTAAAACCAGTTAGCAATTTGATGTCAGGAACTACATGTGAAAATATAATGTAAGTACATCTATATTCTAACGCATGGTAAAATACATTTCTTCACTTTGGAAACACTGTATCCCTCCTGACTTCAAATAGCATGCCGTAGCATGTGACTTACTCCACCTATTGGTCATTTCTGTCCAACTTGTATAAATTTTCAGGTGCTCCCCAGTTGCCTTCCTTTCTGCATTAAGGCCCCCCAATCACATCACTGCAGTCAGAGATCGAGTGATACGAATTTTTAAGTGTCATAGAACAGTGCCTGTTTATCTTTGTTTAAAAGAGAGATTGTCTTAAAATATTTCAACCATAGAATTTTTGAGCTCAAAACAT